GCAAGTGCAGGCTGAGCACTGTGGGTTTGGACTCCCCACCCTGCTGCCTTCCCCTGGGGCCTCTGTGGCCCAGCCAGTGGGACCCAGTGCAACAGGGTAGAATGGGACCAGGCAGGGAAGCTCCTTGGTGCTGCAAGCCTCGTGCAACCCTGGCAAAGTGCTCCCTGCTCACCCGGCAGCAGTGAGGGGCACAACTCCACACCGCCACCTCCACTGCTGTTGGGCAGGCAGGGGTGCTGCGCCATGGCAGCATGGGGCTCCGAGTGGTAGCACTGAGCTTCCCCACCTGGCCTCACTCTGCCTTGCTATGCCGGGTCCCGGGTCCCACCTTCCGGGCTGTAGATGCCCTGGGAGGGGGGTTGGGAGGGGGCAGCAAGGCAGGGAGCCCAAGCCTGTAGCAGGCAGCCCACCCCACATGGGCTCCGCTCTGGCTATGCTGCCCATTGCAGAGGGGGAGTAGGGCTCCGCACTCTGCTCTGCCACAGCAGCTGCTGCTTCTTGCAGGCAGCAGCCAGGGCTCAGGTGCTGCTGCAGAGAGCAGGGGCCTGTGGATCCAGGTCCCTGGCCCTGTAGCCCTGGCAGCTGGGGGCCAACTCTGGGGGGGATGGGGGTCTGTGGGTGGGAAGTGAGGGGCACGAGCAGGGCTGGGAGGCTGTGGCTTGGGAGTGAGGGGTCTGGACCTGCATCCTGGTGAGTGAAGGGGGGAGGGGGAGCTCTGATTACCCATGATAAAAAACCCCAAATCAAATACCAAAATCTATAGATACTTAGAATGTATATTATTATTGTATATTTTATTATAATAATTGAAGCACTGGTAGGCTTCCACATTGCTTTAAAATTGTAAATATATCAATAAAACATTGTGTTCAACTGATACATATATATAGAGAGAGAGAGAGAGAGAGTGATGTTTCATTTCAATTGCAGATTTGGGGGGTTTTAATCAGAGAATTTGCGATTTTCAAACAGAAAACTAGAATTGCTTGTTATGTTGATAGATTCATTTGTGATCAGTTTAGAACTTGCCTGTTTCCAAACAGAGATACCAAAAAGGCTGTATTTTGTTAAATTAAAACCAACATTTTCAGATGCGAGTGTCTAATGTTATACATCTACTAGAATAAGCTGACATCTAAATAGAATTTTTCTGATACTCATAATTGCTGAGCACCTGGAGCTCCCAATGATATATGGATGAGTTATAAATGCTCATCCCTTATCAAAGGTAGGGAAATTTTAGGGCCTAAATATGTCTTAAGGAGCTTAAGTTTTGCATCCGAAAAAGTTGGCCTT